GGCGGTTCGTACAGAGATTTTGTGTCTGTTTATGTCTCTGTTTTTGTCTGTCTTTCTCGTTCTGTCACCATCTCCCTCTCTTGCTCCCTTCTATCACACTACTTTCCCCTCTCTCTCTTCTCTCTCCCTCTCTCTGTCTGTCTCTCTCTGTCTCTCTCTCTGTCTCTGTCTCTCTCTCTCTCTCTCTCTGTGCGTGTGTGTATGTGTGCGTATCTTCTTTCTCTTTCTCTCTTTTTTGCTCTCTCTCTCTCTTACTCTCTCTCTCTCTCTCTCTCTTTCTCTCTCTCTCACCCTCTCTTGCTAGCTCCCTCCCTTCTCACCATTACTCCATCCCTTCTAGGTTCAGACGTTTTTCACACTGCATATAAATCAGTCTTTCATTTCATTGGAATAACAAAAGTAAAACAATACAGCCTTATCAAAGCAGTGATGAAAGAGATGGGTTTGTATAGACTTACGTCTTGCTGATTCGTGAAATGTGACACCAACTCTGTCCTGATGTGTCGCGTCAAAAGAGCAAAGAATGATTAAGATCCGTCACGATGGCATTTGCCAAATAACACAATGTCTGGCTTGAAATACACTTCATCATCGAAACTTTTGTAACTTATAATGTATAATTATATCATGGCCCGTGTGACCGGAGACATAGCTCTTTTATTCTGGGATTCTGGGTGTTTAGTGTTGATAAGAAGCAGGTTCTGGGATTAACAAGGAAAAGGAGGGCCATAAAAATGAATTTAAAAACCTCCAACAAAAAACAAAACAACTGAAGATAAGATAATGTTTAATTACATATATTACGACAATGTTCGACCGCTCGCCGAAAACAAGTTATACTACTTTGTCATTATCAATGTTTCATGCCCTCATATCTGGAATCTTGATATTTTCGGAGGCGGGCTGCGTTGGCTCTGCCTCTCCGGGCCAATCTTTGTTGTTAGGAATACTGTTTTTCTGTCCAAATAGGAAGCTACTTGATAAAATATCTTTCACCTTCTTTTTGTAACAACAAAATGTGTTCTTTTTGTTCTAAGGATATCTCTGCGCTCATATGACCTTATGCAGTTGCGAACACCATAAAACCCTCTACTATAAAAAAAAAATATAAGGATATATATCTCTCTTCCCCCCCCCTCTCTCCCTCTCTCTCTCTGTAAGTGTTACTCGTTTTTCTTCGTTTGTGGGTGGTTGGCGGGTACCCTGGTGTGTTTTGCTCCTTCTTTTCTTTCAAATATCTTTCGTCCTTATCCCCCCTGCTTCCTTTCTTCTCAGTTTACTCTCTTGTATTACCTCTCATCTTTGGCATTTCAATGGCATAATATTTGAATTGCAAGCGTTTTAAAACTCCCATTAAAACTAAACTAATTTATTTGGTATCATGATGTGCTCATTTTTAACCTGAATAATCTTCGGTGTCTTTGCCCAGGACTACGTGGAGACAACGATGAACGAACTGCTGGGCTGGTATGGCTTGCCCAAGATGGATAAAGCTGACACAGGTCACTTGGCCCTGGCCTCGCTTCCCTCACCGGCCTTCAGAAAACAAGCCCAGCCCTCTGCCACATCAACCACCTGCCCTACGAGTAATAACTCCACGTCCAGCAAAGAGAGACGAAACAGCAGTAACAGCAACAACGGTAGCAATAACTGCAAAGCTAACAGTAACAGTGTCGAAGATAGTTCTGAACACCCACCCGCGACCAAAGACGCGCTCAAGCGCTCTACCAGATCCCCACACAAAGCAAACCTGACACCCCCTTCGGTATTTAACAACGACGCCAACAATAACAGTAGTAGCTGTGGCCCTGACGACGATGATGATGACCTAGATGATGACGAAGACGACGATGATTTTAATGAGCTTCGAGAAGAGATGGAGGAGTTGAGAGATACTGGGAGTGTGGCCAGTGACATCAGCGCAGGGAGGCTCGTGTCGCCTGTTATGTTAGGGGGAGGTAAGTCTTTAGGTTATTTTGGGGTTTTCATGGGTAGAAGGA